CCTGGGCGGCTATGAGAACCAAAAATAAGGCTAACCGAGGGACGGAGGGAGTACATGCTCAGGGAAACCGAAACTACTATCTCCACAAGGCAGTTAATGTATGACTAACCCCATTAAACATTCTTCTTCTTCTATTTACCATCACTTTCTTATGTATGACTAACCTCTGTTTGGTGGTGTAGGAGGAGAAACTGAAGCGGCCGCTCTCAGACATGCAGGCGTGGGAGATCGCCCATATGCGGAAGGACTCCAAGCCTGGCGAGCCCCAGTACTACGGCAAGAAGACCGCGGGGAGGAAGCAGGCCTACTCCGAAGCGTATCTGAAGTTGCATCCTGACACACCTGACCCCATTGCGGCGCCTCTGGACGACAGGGCGGTGGTGAGCATGGGGCCCAAGGAGCACGGTCGGGAGGCGGTTCTCGATGTTGTGATCACTCCTAGTATCTCCTACACACAGCTTCGTCGGATCGACCCGAGCCTGAGCCAGCGCACGAGCCAGCCAGTGACCAGTACACAGTCCCTCTTTCAGGAGCAACAATCTGTAAGTATTTTCCCTCTTATCTTCATTGCTCACTTCATTTTCCGCATTTAGTGGTTTTATGAGTTCCATCATGTCATACCGTAGGCCTACATGGAGTACACACGCCAGGAGACCATGGCGTGGCATCAGAGGCTTTATGAACACCAAGTGCAGAGGGATAGCCAGATGCAGCAGGCTTTTCAGGATATGGCGGCCGACAGGTGTCCTCAGTTCCCTCCAGCACAATGCCCTCCAGCACAACCAGTGCTGATGAGCTTTGAGGAGTTTTTGGCACAGAACGTTGGCCCCTCGCCGGTTAGTTCATCCCCAATCTATTCACCCAAAGCATGTCATGCCTTTCAACACAGTCATATATCCCGTGCATATGTATTTTCAACATCCAGGGAACATGTGGATCTACCGTTAGCGGTGGTCTTCGCAGCACTCCGGAGACACGGAGCCCGACCACTCCGATCCACGGAGGCGGAGGCGGAGATGGAGGCGGAGGCGGTCTTGGCGGTAGCGCTGCCGCTAGCAGTGACGACCTGGGCTTTGGCCGTCTTGGCGGTGACGACCTCCGCGGTTCTCGATGATCCTTGTGTGGTGATGATGCTTGAGATGACTTGTGTGTGGTGATGATCATTTAGATGACTTGTGTGCTTCTCTATATGCTTATGTTGGTTGTGATGATGTTCATTTAGAGACTTGTGTGTGATGATGCTTATGCATATATTGTTGTGATGGTGCCGGATGATATCCCGTTGTGTTTTATATGTCTATCTCATCATATATATCTGCTGATATGTGCTGCTATTTGAATTGAATTGATCTGAAAACAAACAGAAAAAAGAAAAAAAAAGCAAAAGCAAACTATGCCGACGGCTAGGCCGTCGGCATAGGGCTAGCGTGAGCTCCCAGTAGCGGACACGTGGGCGCCTATGCCAACGGCCTAGCCGTCGGCTTAGTTTAAAAACTGTGCCGACGGCTAGGCCGTCGGCATAGGCGTCCACGTGTCAGCTACTGGGAGCTCTGTATGAAGGACTATGCCGACGGCCTGGCTGTCGGCTTAGTTTCAAATTATGCCGACGGCCAGGCCGTCGGCATAGCCCTGGTCCTAGAGCAGCGGCTGGTCGCCACGTGGCACACCTATGCCGACGGTCGAGCCATCGGCATAGTTTTTGACTAAGCCGACGGCCAGGCCGTCGGCATAGTGGTGCCACGTGGCGACCGTTCGTTGGGCAGACTTGACGGCGGCCGCCGTTAGGCGTGATAGATGTACGGCCCCCGTCGGCGTATCATATATGCCGACGGCTTTTCTATGCCGACGGCCTCCCTGGCTGTGCCGACGCATATGTTGCCGACGGCCCTATGCCGACGGGGGCCGTAGGCATAGGACTATCCCGACGGGACTCAGGCCTATGCCGACGGCCCTAGGGGCAATTCCGGTAGTGCTCCATCTATCTAGCCGTGGTGTCCCTGTACAAAATAGAAAAAAAAATCTATCTAGCCGTGGTGTCACTTGGCTTTTCGGGTCGGCAACATGACAAAACACACCAGCTCCCTCGTCCGTCCGTCCCTGCATGCCGCCCGCGTAGGCATGACCCAACGACCAAAACCATATATATAACCTAAACAACACTAAAGAAACTAAGGGTCCAGGCGCGACTGACGACCTACACAAAATACTAAAAATCCTAACAAGTATTTCCTCCATCCCAAAATAAGTGTCTCAAAGCGGAGGGAGTACAAGTTAGGACAACAACGAAGCATGAAAGCAATGACCACACGCCGAAGGAGCTTGAAACATCCGAGAGCAGCGACCACGACAACATAAGTCCTTCAGGTAGCATGGCCACAACCACCAGCCTGAAATGATCCAACTTGCACAAGTGAGAGCATCGATTGGTAGTTCAGGGTGTTAAACACATATATAGGGCATGATGGATCAGCAATCTTTGATGGCACAACAGAATACCTCCTCACTGACACAACTCGCAATTTACACCATTCAATGATTGCAGCAAGCCGATGCACATCGCAGACCAACTCCTTGTGATCGTCCTTGCAACAAGCTAGCAAGAGCGCCACAATCACTACAAGAGCAGGCCATGAGATCTATCTCAGTAGCCATTTCCTTTGCTCGATTTCACCATCTGTTCAATATCCCTTTCTGAACCGCTGCAGAAATTGCAAGACTGATATCTCAAATGAGTTCACGAAAAAGGAAAAAATGTGTGAACCTATTTGTATCAGCGAAGGACAGGTCTGGAATTTCACTCTGTCCTTAAAGGCCAAAATCATGTACAAACTACAAACTAATACCATTTGAAACACAAATCTTTGTACAACAATGGAGCATCATAGGCATTCTGTTTTGCAGATGAAATTTCTCAGGATCAAATGTGATACAATGCAAACCTAGAAAATAATAGTATGAGGGGAACTCACTCTCACCAATGAAGATTAAATACCTCACTCAATGAAGACGTCACTGACACAAGAAGGTCCTCTTGTCGAACCCATGGTCGGTGCCGTTCGATCGAGTGCTGGTCTTCATGTGGATTTGTGCATAGTTAGCATTCAAATTCTCGGTTTAGCTTAATTCTCCTCTTTGTCAATTTGCCCGTAGGACTGCCTAGGCTCATCTTTTTAGGAAAAGGATGGGTTGGCACATGACCCCATGTTTACTGCAGATCACAGCCCAAGCCTGAGAATTAAAAAATAAATATTCTGTTCACACTCTTCATCGCATCTAGCAGCACTCGTAAGCTTATTGTTAAAAGAATAAAATTAAAATCCTCTGGATTATTAATGTAGTTCTTATCATGTAAGGGATATGATTCTTATAATGTCAGAACTACCAATTGTTTTTTTTAATTCGCAAAAGAAAGTACCAACTGTTTTACATGAGAATATTCTTCCACGAGCAGTTTATTGTTCAGTTTTAGAATCTAATGTATATAATCACAGAATTCTTTGAAGAATTCTTTCAATTAAATTGGAGACATAGCAAACAACAATACCAGACTTATAGCAATTGGTTGGACCTGTTTTTTCACGTTATTCAACAGAACAGCTCATGATAAAACTTTTGTTACACAGGGATGTCAATTAGGCAAATTTAGAAGAATAGCAAACAGCAATTCCGTTCCTTTCAAACAACAAATAGGCAACGTTAGAAGAAAAAACATAATTCATTTGACACAGGGATATGTTTCATTTCAAACAAATATTAGTACTGCTGGTGCAAAGGCAAGACGTGGGGCAGACCAGAGTTGAATAAACATTGTCAGGTGATCAATTACTGTTTACCATGCTACAATTGCTAACAAAGCCTAGTACTTGCTGATGGCACAGGCTATAAAATATGACAACAAGAAACGGAGAAGGAAGAGGATGGGGAGCACCACCTCCCAGTCATGACATCTCACCTGTGGTCACCTCTTTGCGCGGCAGCACGCGAATTTGCTTTGCCTCAAGCCGGATTTTCTTCATCTCTACCTGATTGGTCCATCCCAACCTCGCTATGACACCATCTGCAAGAGCCGCGCCATCTCCCCATGTGGCCAGACACGAGATCAGACATGACAACATTTCTTTCTATGAATAAGCTAGGACTCAAGGACACACTAATGTGTTTACTGTAGTGCAGACCATTAGAAAGCTGGTATATGTTTAGCATATATCAAAAAAAGTAAAATGAACCAACAAGTATGCCTTTCAACAAAACAATATAATTATCAAGCCACGGATTAATGAATTCCCAAATTAGTCGATTTACCACATATGCAACTATGTTTTCTAATAGCTTGCAAGTGGAGCTATCAGAAGAAATTGATGTGAGCATGGCTTATAAAATACAAAGAAGAATATATCAGCTAAGTATCCATCAACGGAACTAAAAAGAGCAGCAGATTAGACTCATACCTGCTCTAAAATACTGACTTCTTTTCATTGGCTTCTTGATGTCTTGCATACAGCAGCGCCGTCACATACATCAGAGATGGTGACTAACAGAATAAATGAACAACAGTAAGAGAAGACTAGACTCATAAGAACAGCTGCACATCAGCTCCAAACAGCAACACGGCTGGTCAAAACAGCAGCTTGACAACGTTTCAGTAATCATCAGAAGTTCACAAATGACAAATCGCAACAAAGCAAACATAACAATTAACAAAGTTCTTATTTCTCCGGCCGCTCTCACAAGTCTTAAAAGAAACACAAGCACGCACACATCACACATAAGACATAATAAAGTTTCAGAGTCCCACACATAACAAAGAGACAAGTTCATGAAACTTAAAATACTTGATACAGATCATAACTTGACAGCCTGATGCCATCATGCGGCCTCCTGAATCATCAGCCCTTCGATGCCACCATTTCATATTCTGCTGCACATGGTCTTCTACAGCTTAATTAGAGCCTAGGCAACGAGCTCGCCCTCCAGCACGTGTAGGTGAGCGCCTAGGTGACCTACTTCTTCAAACACTGGAGCATCCCAGTTGGACCAATGCTGATTGGGATCCCAAGGTTGGCAAAGAGACCCCTCAAGGTGCCCTCTTCTATCTTTGGGAGTCCACACAATGGTCCACTGAGCCAACGGTCATTTGGCGGCAGTTTCATCAGAGTAAGACTGGGTGTAATCCACACGGGAGAAGGCCAGTTGGACCAAAGCTGAGGAGACACAAGGTCCTCCTTGCTATTATAATTGCCAAAGCCAACTACTCCAATGTCACGACGACTACTCTTACGAGCCTGATTGTACTGTTGATCGTCAGTAAAGTAGGCATGATTCCCCTTGAGAGCAGGGTAATCTTTGGCACTGAGACAAAGTGAATCATTAAGCCCAAGAAACAGCACATGCTCAGGCAAGCAATCAACTTCCACAAGCCTCTCAGCACCATCATCAACTTTGTGTAATTTAATTTCCCTGGTATTCGGAACTGGTATTTTAGGGTCGACGTCTTCATCAGGATCATCAAACTCCTTTAATCTTGAAACAAGCAGCAGACCACCCCATGGAGCCTGAACAATGTGTACAGCATCGGGATCAAAGCCCTCGTCTCCCCCCTTGATAATCTTCATTGTAACATCAGGACCACTAAGATCGAAGGCATGAATTTCTCCCGTCGTACTCGCTGCATACAGCAACCCATCCTTGTAGGTGCAGTCCTGGTAGTCACAGTGTGGTTCCAGCAAGGTCCACTTGTCATCCCCAACCCTTGCAAAGGATAGGTGAGTGTATGGCCTGTGGATGAGCACCGCGATGTAGCTTCCTGCCGATGTGTCATGGAACACAAACGCCTTGAACTGGAAGCATTCCCGCAGCTCACAACGAGGCATGATCGACGGCGTGAAGAAAGCCCGTCTTGCAGAGTGACTTGGGTATTCATACTCGTGGACCGAACCCGTGTCATCAAAGATGGGCTTCACGTACTCAATGGTGGTCACTGAAGGGAGAGCAATCTGCTGGCCAGTAATAGGATTGACGAGGTGCATTTCTGATCTATCGTCGACGGTGACCAGGAAGCCCAACGAGGACCCGATGATGAACCGGTGGCGGAGAGGCGGCTCCGGGAGGGTCAGCCTGTAGACCCTCTTCTCCACGAGGCTGTAGAGGCACGCAACATGCTCACCAGCAGATTCAGAGGTGTAGAGCAGGCACGGCGTCTGGGCCTGCTTGTGCTTGTCGAGGCTGCGCAGTGCGGTGTACGCAGAGCGCCACGAGGCGCAGACGCAGCCGGCGCGCATGAGGTCGGGGATCTCGAGTGTGCCGAGGACTATCATCAGGATGTCCTCCGGAAGCTCCGGCGATGCCGCCGGCGTAGCCTCAGACGCCGGTGGAGAGACAGGTCCTCTGTAGAAATTTTTTCAGTAAAACTCTGAATAAATTGAAGAACTCTAAAACCAGAGATCGACGAGAAGGCAAAAGCACTCACCGGCGGCGGTCGACTCGAGCGGACTGGCTGGGGATTGCGGAGGAGGATCCCGCCCGCCGAACGCCGCCGGCGCATCCCGCGAGCAGAGGGTCCCGCGGCGGCAGGTCGATTTGGCTATGGCCCGGGCGGCGGAAGGGGGGCGACGGAGCCGCTGGCGCCATCTGGACACTTCGAGATGCGGCGGTGGAGGTGGCGGCGGCGGAGGGCTGGATGAGGCGGCAGCAGCGGACGGAGGTCAGGGATCTCGAGTGTGGCGGCGGCGGCTGCGGCGACGGTGGGGAGTTGGAGAACTTTTTTTCCTCGGTTTTACTTTTTTTTTAGGAAGATTTCCTCGGTTTTACTCATAGTTTTAAATAGCCGGCTATAGCCCTACTATAGTTTCACTATAGCTGTTTGAAGGTGCTGCCACTAAATGATACGACATTGTTTTACTTGACGTTTGGTACGACACATAGGCCGCTTCAATGGGCCTCCAACGGTCCACACGAAAATTGTCATTACTTAAACCTTTTTTTTGCCTACACTACAGAAAAAAATCACAAAAAATTGACATGTACCATAGGTAGTACCGTGAATTGTACAAAAAGAATCAATTGCCAAACTTATATACAAAACATTCGCCAAGGTTTACTACATTTCAAAAAGAAAAAATGCATATTTAAAATTGCCATGTAGGAAAAATGTACCCCCTCCGTTCCTAAATATAAGTTTTTTTAGAGATTCCAATATGGACAACATACGAAGCAAAATGAGTGAATATACACTTTAAAGTATGTCTATATACATCCGTATGTAGTCCTAATTGAAATGTCTAAAAAGACTTATAATTAGGAAGAGAGGGAATACATAGACAAAAACTTGTTGAAAAATTGCCATGACGAATATCAAAACAACAAAAAAGGACAAAATTGCAATAATAGTGGGGGCTTATGAAAGCAAAAAAAAACCGTGTACAATAGTAGATTTGCCATATTATAACTAAATTTGTATTTGACATGTTATATATCAACCTGTTCTTAAACAAATTGAGGCATGATACATATTTGTCATCATAAAGTTTCCACTTACCACATGGAAAAATAAATTTTTTTTTTTGCGAATCATGGAAACTTGTACAAAAAATGTGAGGATAAGATCACAAAACTAAGCATGTTGTTATATAAAAATCATGGCAAACATTGTGGATAAAAAAATCATCACAAGGGAAAATGTAGGTAAACTTGGGATTCTAGTGACATATGGAAAGGTTAAAAATTGCCGTGGCAAAATATAGGAATTTTTACAATGACAAATAAATGGAAAAATTGCCATGGCAAATTAAGAAGTAAAAAAATGTAGGAAAAAAGGGTGAAAAGAATTTGCAATGCGTTATAGGTAAATTTTCTATGTAAAAGAAGGTATAATTGCCATGGCAAATATAGAAGTGAAATTTTTCATTGCCAAAAAAGGTTAAAAAAAAGAATTTGACGGGGCGTTTTAGGTAAAATTGCCATGGAAAACAGAAACTAAATTTGGCATCTTTTTTCTTGTGTTTTTTATAATTTTAGAAAGGAAAAAAATTCCATGGCAAATTATTCTAAAAAGTATAATTTGCCATGGCAACTTATTCTTAAAAAGAATAATTTGTCATGGCAATTCTGACGGCGTTCTTCATTATAATTTGACACTTTGTCATCATAATTTGCCATGGCAAAACATGGCAACAAATAATTTGCCAATAGCCATCTGGTGATACTTTTTAGAACATTAATAAAATGAAAAAATGGACAAAATTGCCATGATATGTTAAAAGCATGGCAGAAGTAGCTCCATAGATCATGGCATCGGTGCATATACAAAAGTGCCATGTTATATGAAGTATGATTCTGCCATGGGTTGCTAAACAATTTTGCCATGATTCATGTGATATATTTTGTCATGGTCCATGTGATATATTTGCCATTGGCTATGGCAAACAACACAAATTGAAAAAAAGGTATAAAAAAATATTTGTAGATCATGGCAACTAAATAGAAAAGAAGTCATGGGTACTAAAAAAATACCTAATTAACCCATGGCAAATGAAGAAAAAACTATTTAAAAACAGTAAATTCATGGGGAAAATGGCTCTGTATATCATGGAAACTGTCGCATATGTGAAGTTGCCAAGCTAGATGAGTAAAAAGAATTTGGCATGGGATGTTTAAACAAAAAAGTTGCCATGATCTATGTAATAGATTTGCCATGGACACACGAAGGAAAAAGAGTTGCCCGCTAGTTTGGTCATTTATGTTTGTGTCTATAACCAACAAAACTTTACCATGCCAAAACAAAACTATAGAAAAGCTATTATGTGTAAAAACAAAAGATGGCTTCCTATGATGTACACATGTTTAAACTTGGATTAAACTTTGCCATTGTTAAAAACAGTAAATTTGCCATGGCAACTTTGGCCATGGAGTATGAATTTGCCATGGGCAAGCAATAAAAAATGCCATGGTCAGAAAGTAAACATTGTCGTGGTTAAAATAGTAAATTTTGCCATGCCCAAATAAAATTCATATTAAAAAAACTCATGTAGAAAATGGAAATCTAAAAGTTGCCATGGTAAAACCACTTGAGATGTTAAAAAGTTGTCATGGTAGATGCATGTTAAAAATTATCATGGCAGTTATGATTCTCATGTTTTGTATAATTTTTGTTGCCATGAATGCAAATAAAGTTGCCATGGTCGCACAAAAGAAAGTAATTTGTTGCCATTTTTTACAAAAAAAATCCATGCCCTTTAAATTGCTTTTGCCATGCTTCGTTAACTTAACTTGCCATGATCCGTGAAAAATCATGGCAAATTCATATGATTTTTTTTCCATGACAGCTATTTACTAAACGAAAAGATGATGACTATAAAGGATTGTAAATTTGCCAGGTCAATTAATGATAATCTGCCATGGCGAAATGGTATCTAAATTCATAGTGGTTTCCCATGGTATATGAAACAAAATGACGCTAATTCATGAGAAATGTATGAAAAAGTTGGTATGAACTATACATAATTTGTCATGGCAAATTTACATATCTCTAAAAAACATGGCAAAAATAGACAAGATAGTGGATTGACAAAGGCCAAAGGTGATCTGTCAAACACTGAATACAATTTGTCGTGGCAAAAAAAAGCAGTAGACTATCATGGCAGCTTTGTCAAACAAATCGCCAGGGTATATCAAAAATCATAGCAAAAAGTCATACCAATTCTGTTCATGGAAACTACTCCACAAATATGCCATGGCAACTACTCCAAAATTTTGCCATGGAAACTACTCATAACAATTATGTCAATTGCAACTACTCATAGCGATTCTACCGTGGCAAGTACCTACAAAATTTTGCCATGAAAACTACTCATAGCAATTATCTGTTGTGCATTCTCCTGGGATTGGTACATTACATGGCAATCTTCAGATAAATGAAACAAAAATGCCATGTCAAACACATGATTCCAAAAACATATCAGATGTAAAACGAAAAATGTAGGATTTGGACAGAGTCCTGCACATAGAAAAGGAGTGTATGCCATGGGGATCTGGGTAGAGTCAAGACGCAGCAAAAATGAGGAGCGACTCCACTGAACGGATTCAACAAGTATAGTTGAGGAACCGGACGAACTAAAAAAAGCACCAGATCGATGGACGAACTCAGTGGCAACAGCGGGGAGGAGGGGCTGCTTCGACTGCAGGAACAACGCATCCCCGTACTCTCCCCCGCCGCACAGTTCCAGCGAGATGGGTTGCGGTGGCGGCATAAGAAAAGCCTGGCCCCGATGCCCTTCCATCGCGGAAGGAGCCGGCGCGCTGGCCCTCCTATTCGTACCACCTATCAGGAGCATAGATGAGAGTACCAAGGTGGTCTAGAATCGCTAGCCCCATCTCGCATGCTCATTCAGTTCCGAGAACAAGGCATCGATGTTCATCTTTAGCACACGACATCGTCGATGTTGTGTAGTCAATCGTCCTGGTGAGATGGTGTCGGTGATGACATTGTGGTGGTCGGCACTGAGCCTCCGTCATCTTCGTTGTTGTGTATCGTATCTCAATAGTATTTTCGTGATGACGTGTTTTTTCTATAGATCCTGATATTGATAAGCCGGTTCTTTCGTTATTGTTTAGACCTCAGGAATTATTTTTGCTGGAGAGATCTCTAAGAGATTACATGTGTATAATTATGTAGCCATTACATGTGCAATAATCCTACACCCACACACGAGTTACACATGTTCTACTCCCCTCCCCCCCTGGTTTTCATTTGGGTGGGCCTCTCCATCCCTGTTTCCCAATTATACATCTCACATTTGCCCATCCGTTAAATCCATAGGTTATCTTCCATAGGTCTAGCATTACTCTTAGATGTGTATAATTGTATGCATGTATACATTTTCCCCTTCTGTTAGCGTGTATCTCCTATCGATGAAGATTTTGAAAACTTTTCCCTATTCCTCGATCCCCGTGATTATGGTCCAGACTAACTCAAAGGTGATCACACATTGTTGCACCATCTTGATTGAGGAGTTGAGGAAGGCAGAAGGGTTTAGGGTTGCTTACTTTTTTTGAGACAATTTTTTTGAGACAATCATAGGTTCTACTCCCTCCGTCCGAAAATATTTGTCATCAAAATGGATAAAAAGGGATGTATCTATAACTAATATACGTCTAGATACATCCCCTTTTATTGATTTTGATGACAAGTATTTTCGGACAGAGGGAGTATCTATCAACGTGCCCTTGGCACGGGCTGGGCCGAAACGAGGCCCACTTACCACTACCCACGCCCAACCGTCGGACCCAATAAAATTTGGTTCCCGCTCCCCCTCTTCGTCCGCCGGTCCGTTTCGGTTTCCCCACAAAGTCAGCGGAAAGAGAAAAAAAGGAAAGAAACAAGAAACCCCCACCGCCGCCGCCGCCCCCGCCCGCAACTGCTCCCCGTCCCCCGCCGGAGCAAGCCTGCCACGTCGAGCGGAGGGAGCCCTCCCTCGTCGGCGTTCCCCTCCTCCTCCTCCACGCCTCCACCGGACTCGGGAGGATTCCCCTCGCTGGTGAGCAAGCCCTAGCTTTCTTGGATTGCTCCCCAGTCTCTGCCGCGCCGCGGACAGCCGAATCCGGCCGCGTGTTCCTTCCGCGATTTCGAACCTAGTTTCTGCCGGTAGGGCTCGGCTCTCCCCGTAATCCCCTAGTCAACTGTTAGCGCGGATTGCGGTATGTTTTGGGGGGAAGATTTGGTCGCTCCGTGTGATTAAAATTTCCCCTGTTCTCGAACCGTTGGTGCGGGAGATCCGGGCATCCGGTGGAGAGTAGTAAGAAGACCACGGGGTCTTTTGACCCAAGACCTCCGGCTTGCATCGGGTGGTTTGATTGAAAACTAGGGATTTTCTTTTTTAGGAAGTATGTACATACTGAAAAAAATGGGGGATTTGCTGGGCAGCATGTTCAAAACTGGGGATTCTCTATTTTGGGAAGTAGTACCTACTACTAACGAATCGGGGATTTTACAAGAAGGTACCACACAAGGGTATCAGCAGTTGCTGCAAATTTGCTGCTATAATCTACAGTAGCACTCACACAGGTGTTCTCTGAATTTTGTGGGGTGTTAATAATATGATGGAGATTTATTTTTCATGTATAGGATGCCTCTCATGATCTACTTGAACATTATCTCGGAAGTTTGTTTAGAAATAAAAGAGCGCATCTTGTCGGTTTATCGCTCTACATTTCTGCGCTATGTCAGGAACATTTAACAAGGACATGTAGGGATCCTGTTTTCAGTTTGGTAGTTAGTTGTGCATTTCCTTTTATGGACTGTGGAGTCTGTACTCTCTTTTGCGTTGTATATGCTTTTTGGTAGAATGTGGGTGGTGGCAAATCAAGTGAACAATTTTCAATAAATGGTGCTGTATTTGGTACTTTCAGATTGGATAGACCATCCTTTGTTGATCAGCTAAGGTTATTTACCTACTTCCACAACTGGCTCTGGTTTTTTAATTTTGTATTCATGGATTTTTCTTCTATTTCTTGAACATATCCAGTGTATGCAATGGGGAGGAGTTTAAGAGCGGGATGCCATGCAGAATTGGAAGACTCTGTGGCAGATCCTGTCAGCGAAAAGCAAGCCTTCAGAGGGTGGAAGCAGTATGTGAAAGAACTCAACTCGAACACACTTCCACCATTTCTCACCCGCCTTTGTGACCCTGACAAGCCATGCTCATACTCTGAGGAGGAGCTCTTATGCGTGTTTGAGACTGCTGCGGAAGTCCATGGCTGCAACATTGTGCCACATATCAGCCAGATCGTTTCAGCCATCATTAGAATCATGTCTTCAGCCACAGGGTCCTTGCATGGTGTTGGTTGCTCCAAGGTGATACGCACATTATCACGCTATGTCATTGATCCCCTGGGAACAGAAGAAGAGAAAAGTGGGATCATTAGCTCTCTCTGCAGTCCCTTTTCTGGTTGCTTGATGAGCACGAAGGAGAGTGTATCTTCTGGTTCTGCTCTCTGCGTCACTGCACTTATCCAGTCCAACAATTGGCAATTTGCATCTCATGAGTTAGTTAACGACATCTGCTTAAAAGTCTCAGGGGCCTTAGAGGAGGTACGCTGCCAGACCATTTCACACTTAGGCTTAGTGGTTGCTCTATTGGAACAGAATTGGTTGACACTTGAGCCTTACGGGCGGTCTTTGATAAGATCAGGCTTAAGTATATTGGACAAGAGTACTAAAGCAAGCAATTCTCAGATGATCATATCATCCATTCAAATGATACACTCCATCATGAAGACTTTGGAATTGAGCATCATATTTTCTGAGATCAGTAGCATTATCCAAGCTATGGAGCAACTGAGGGATCATTGCATGCCAGAGATCAGCACTCCAGCTTTTCAGGCAGCTGAGACTGCTAATACACTGTACAAGCAGGAAGAGTGTGGACATGGCAAAAGAATTAGTCCATTGGCAAAAATTCATGATGGAAGACATAGGAGGAGGGGATCATATTCACATTCTGTTATGGATGATGCGGAAATAAGAAACTGCGGTTCAAATGAATCTCTGTATGATGATACACAATCTGTTAATCGGTTCAGAGACCATGATTCCCAGCCTTCAGTGGGGCAATACTCAGGTGTACCTGTAAGTGCACGGGTAAGGAGGCGACTGTTGAGTAATGGTTCTGACAGACAACATCAAATGTCCAGTGATGAGTTTCCTCGCACTATTGTATCTGATTATCGTGATGGTGTCGGTGTGATAGCACAATATGGTTCTGCTGGTCTGCTAGATAAGTCAATGAGGAGGTATTCAGATGTATCAACAAGGACTGCTGATCCATGCCCTATGTGTTTAACACCGCGAACTACTAATCGATGCTCTCAGGTATACAGTACATCTTAATTGATTGATGACTTGATTGCCTTATCATATGTACGAGCAATTATAGTAACTTTGGGGCTTATCATGTCAAGATATGGTGTCTGAGTTAGCGTTTGTACTCTGTTCTGGAATGGTATCTTTCAAATGATAGGAATAACAAACTTTTTGATGTATGGTAGGAAAGGAACTTACTAACTTCATGCGCAAAACAGATATCCTCCATGTATGCAAAACAGATCCTCCACATATATGTTTGTAGATTGCTTATGGTATTTCCATTGATGCATTGAAGAACTGTTTCTTAGTGGTTTGAAGAACGAAATTGCAGAAGCCTGACCTTTTTTGGTACAAATAAATTTACAGCTCTTTCTCTTTTCTTTCATGGACTTGTTTCAGATATCAAGGCGAGGAACTTTCTCAGAAGACGTTTGGATGCAGTCAACCCCAAGGAAGCAGCTCCAGTTTCATAGCTCTAGCAGTGAATCAAAAAGAGATACTCACAGATTACCCGACAGCCCATCTCTGAGACGGATACGGCACTGTTCAGGACAATGTACAAATGGTGAAGTTGAGGAAAGGAACGGCTACTGTGATTCTGTTCAGCATGACAGCCAGTGTCATGTACAGAGCAATGATACCTCGATAGAAGATCTGAAGCTACCACCAACCAACAGTGAGCGTTCTGATAGTGCAGGCGAATCTCGAAGCGGAGAATGTCGAGCTGAGAATGAGAAGATGACAAGAGTCAGGAAAGGGAGCAGAAACTGCTCTGGCACCCTACTTTTTCTCCTTGTATGTGCTCTAGTGATACTGGTCATTGCGCTCTTGCTAGCTTGGTGGAAGGAGGATCAGAGGGAGCCGTATGTTGTACCCACATAGTAGCGTCTTTCTGCCTGTATGCAGGTTGTTCTGCGATGTGCGTTGGCTTTGGTGTAGATTGCGAGTTAAAGTGGGGTAAAGGTTGAGAAGTTGTGTTGATTTAGTCGAACGATAGTGATAGTTTGCTGGATTGTACATTCTGATTGTTGGCATGAATACCATGATAGTTTTGTGTTCAGTGGGAAGCTGAAGCGTAGCACATAATTCCTTGCTGCATTTCCGAATTTCTCTACTTTATAGCATTTGTTTTACAGAGTATATGCAGCTAGTGTAGCAGATACATGAGTGGCATGTAGTATACTACTGGTCTTGATGGTATTGTTCACCGAATTTCATTATCATCTGGATAGAAGTATCCAATGTAGTAGAAGCTAGATTGACAAGGCAATACCAATGTTTCCGCAAACTAGTTTTGTTACAACTGCTTCGGGATAAATTTTGGTCCAAACTTCTCACTGTTTTGTTCATACTCCGCGTGTTCATTGGTTTGTTGTTGCTCCATGAATGAGAGGATAAATATTTTTGTTCTGTGCGGTTATTTTTCCCAGTAACTCGTAGTTGCTGCAAAAAGGTTCATAAAACCACCATTTTTGTTTCACCAGTAATCCATATGTGTACATATATATAGGATCAAGTATTTTGTTCAGGTGGTTATTTTTTTATTTGCTTTTGGTATTTTGACAAGGAATGATTTCAATTTTAAAGGAATTTAACCGAAGTTATATAGCTGCAGAAGGAAGTTTTAAGAAGAAATCAAGCTGCTAGCCCATAGAGCAAAAAAGAAGAAATTCTGTGGTTTTCCAAGTTGGGTAGATGCATTTCACTAGCTCAGTGGTTTTGTTGCACACCATTCTTTCTTTTCTTTTCTTTTCTTGCTAGATCTTTGGTTAGCTTGTACTTCCTCTGTACAGAATTAGTTGACGCTCAAACGGATGTATCTAGACGTATTATTATTATTCCAAAAAAATATTATGCAACAGGAGAAATCCTGCTGTTTTTGAGGGAAGAAATAACCAAATATAACATTTCTTTGTTTTTATTACAAACCAAGACAAGCCGTCCAGCTTGATCGTGAACAAAACACCAAGCTAGAGGAACCAAGCAAGCAATCCAGTGCTACTTGCTTCACACACCAATCCAAACCAATCCAATCCAATCCAATTCAGTCAAGCATACTCACACCATGCATAGCTTGGTGAAGAAAGCACACCATTTATTCCTCCATCAAAAGTACGTAGCAACACCCTCACCATGCCGCAGATGGAGCATGTAAACCACACTTAAAAGCCAAACACCGACAAACTAGGGGAAACAATCCAGAGAGTTGTGAGTGAGATCAAAACTCAATTGTAAGCCGCTTGACCTCTTTTTGCATCAAGATTACCTAGGAAATGAAGAATGTGAATAGAAAACATTGATTAATCTGATAGTAAATAAAAAAAACAATGACACCTGCTTGCTCAATCTATCAATGCACGGAACAAAATCCATGTCCGAGCAAACTGTACCTCAGAACGGAGATCCTCGGGAGGGTCTTCTTGTAGTAAGCCGAGTGGCGCGTCTCAAAAAGCGATGGTTCATGGTCGGCCTCGGGGCCGTCCCACTCGAGCCTATCCCACCAATCCTTCTCGCAGTCCACCACCGGCTTGGGGCCTTGGCGCGACACGGTTGGTACCCGTCTCAGGCCCCAACAGTCCTTGAGGGTGATTGTCTCCAGCACCGGCACGACCAGTGATTTGACCCCGCATATCTGCTCTAGCCTGTGGAGATGATATAGCCTGATGTGCTTTAGCTTCTCTAATGTGACACCAGATGCTATCTCTTGAGCGCGCTCATTGGTGGCCAGTGGGAAAACATGTTGGAGATTTTGGCAGTATACGATCTGAATGGTCTCTAAGTTTGGCATTGGGTAGGAAATAGGGAGGACAAACACCAGCCTAGGACAGTTGTGCAAGTATACGTGTTGTAGGTATCGAAAGCTGTAGAAGTCTAATGTAATATCTCTACCCCAGATGCAATAGGCCATCAGGAGATCAGATGCAGAAAATACCCTTATTCTACTAAAGCTTTCATTTCCAGCCCAACTTGGGAAGAGGGTGTGAAGGTTGGGGCACCTCTCAACATGACACCATTCTAAATGCAGCCATGATGTTCTTGACGCTGGAAGGTTAGCTGTGATTGAGATATTGTCATGCACATGCAATGATTTCACTCTATACTCTATGAAATTTCTGAAATTTGCATTGACATTCATACTCTCTAAATGGTGGCTTCCTTCACCAATCTCTATATGGATACTCAAAGGATAAAGTCGTCGGTGGTCCCACACCAAGGAAGAAGGTGTGACAGTGTCCTTGTTAATGACAATATCTACGTAAGGTAAGAAGGGCCCTACGGGAACCAAACCCTCTAGGGTAGTGCCAATATCCTCAATACTTTTGGTGATGTTGACTTGGCTCTGGATCATAGTAGAAATATGGAGGTGCACCTTGGGGTCATACCGATCGAGTCCCTTTATGACAGACCAAATGAACCTTCCATCTGTAAAAGCCATGTGTGCCTCAAAGACAGAGGGCCTCTGTTCTCCACAGTGGATCATTGGTCTCGTCTTCCCACGAGTGTCTACATGTAGAACTTCCAGTGAAGGGTTTCTTCCATCCCAGAGTAGGCTACGGAGTTGCTCACAACCCAACATGAATAACTTCTTGAGCCGTGCAACATCCATTGCACCGAGGTCAAGTGTTTTAATGGCTGTGCTAGAAAGGTCCAGCTCCTCAAGATTGGGCAATGCATGCAAGAACACGTTGCACAATCGAGCACAACCCTCTAGGGAGATCCTTCTCACCTTGGCTTCTGGGACGTTGCGGGACTTGGGACGCAGTTCTTTTTCTGGCAATTGTATGGGATGTATCCACTTCTCTGCTGGGCCATAACCATCGAAGCTAAAACTCTCGAGCAGTGGAGGGGCTCCTCCGAATACAACCTGCTGCAAGCTGGAACAACCATCAAGAACTAGCATCTTCAAGTACCGTGCCGTTGTCATTTCCGGCAATGATGCCAAATGAACGTTACCAGACAAGTCAAGGAGCTCCATATTCATCATATCTACTGAAGAGCATGTGTCCATCATGATCACATCTGAGGATTCGGTTACCCGGAGCTTGTGAATGTTCTGTAGCTTTTCCCATGCTTGACTTACATACCTCCACGAGACACCCTTGGTATTTACCTCCCTAAGATTGGTCATCAAATCTATCATCTTTGACAGCAAGACAAACTCCGTGAAGCGTATGTCAAGCACCAACAGATCTGGGAAACATGGCCCTCCACCTTGATCCTCCCTTGTATTTGTGCAATGGTGAAGACAAAGGAATCTTAGGTTGTGACAAGATCGGAAAGGAGGGGATACAAAATCAAAGCTGCACTTGCAGAGTTTTAGCACGTGGAGGTTGCTGGCTAATACAAAAAGGTCATTTGGTAGTTGTAGTTGAGAATCTCCCCCCGATGTTAGGAAACATGATGATGTAATGACAGGAATAGTTGAGATATCTTGTGCCCCTAGTTGGTTGGAGGAGATTAAAATCCAGCGGTTAAATCTTTGTTGATCGAAACAACGTGTCAATAGTTGTGTTCTGTTAGATGGATAACACAACATCCGAAGTATCACTTCATACAATGCACTGCCAACCTCGTAGGCTCTGTCCCCTTGAAGGACCCCATCACATATCCAGTAGTTGCAAACATGCGTATCCCAAGCAAAGTCAAGACTGAAAGGTTTTCCGAGTATTGGCTTTCTTATTTTCAGATTCTGGAATCTTTTCTTAAGCTCGGCCTGTGCATCGATATCATAGATGCTTCTAGGCATTCCGCGTAGTTGCTCTGTCAGGAACAGTGAGTACGAGAAGCAATCCAAAACTATTGTTGGGTTGATGTCATCCAAGCCGGTGAAACCAATCACTTCAGCGGCTTCTTCCCGCAATGAATGAAGCAATATACCATCCACGTTTAGGTTGCCCACATGAGATAAACGAATTACTTTGAAATATGCAGAACTTAACTTTAACTTGTCTTTTCTCTCTGAGAGTTGAAATCTTCCATAACCACTCCATAACAGTTGCCCTAAAGCATATGTCCCAAATTCAGGATTAGGAATGCCAAACTCTGCTAGATCAATGACTTCTTCTCCCCCATAATGAAAAATCATCAGAAATCTTTCATTTCTTAGAGAAGCGTTGATCTCACTTCCGATGCGTGGTATCTCTAGTCTAGAGCCGATCTTTATCCCTCTAAAATCATCATCCTCATCCTCCTTATCAAACATGGGCAGTAAATGGCCAAGATTTAACTCCTCCACGATTGCCCTCTGCAAGGATCTTCCACTTTTCCATAGAGAGCAGTCTACATGGATAATTTTGCCAAAATGCTTTCTTCTGTCAGGGTCACTTCTTCTCGATTTCAGGAGTTTGGCTGTGGCCTTAAGAACAGCAGAGGCTCCTACACCTTCGCCGCACCAGCCAGCCAAGAAGAATGATTTAGCTGCCTGATTATCATATGACTCTGAGAGATGATCAATCAGCTTTCTGGGGGCGTCCTCAAAACCGTGTATCAGCTGTAGTAATGAGAAGTTGTTAGATATGACTTTGTGGTACATATATGGGTAAGATAGTTTCAATAGCTACAACTTTTGACTTGACTAAACGCGGGCGATGAATGATGCAACATTAATGTATAAGGCCAGTCAAGTAAAGCATCCGATCCGGAAGTTTAAATATAGGACCAACGAAAATAACCTATATAGGTACACAAGATAACTTTTTCATTAGATAATAAGCACTAAATGACTAGTTTGTGGATCCTTGTTTCGCATCCGTTGAAGTATAAGTGCATTGCCTGTGTTCTCCCCGTGAGCTTGAGCTTTTGGGTGATCTGGCAGGTGCACACAATCCAATAATATATCGTGGGTCGCTAGAGTGTGTGTTCTGTGTAGCTTGGAAAGAAAAAAAAAGAAACAAATATGTAGGAGGTAGCAGATTATAAATCAGTTCTATTCAGTTTTGAACAACAAGCACTAGTATGTTTTAAAACAACAACTCCTGTGTTGAGACGAGGTTAGGATGAAGAGAGGTACTAACCAGATGTATTGGGTAATCGTCCATTTTGACCATGTGTAGTAACTTGTATCACCAGCAGCAGCAGCAGCAGCATCCGCATCAAAAGAAGAAGAAGGAAACCGTGAAGGTTGGGCATATATATCTAACCCATCGCTCCCCTCCCTCCACACAGAAGTTTGTCTGATCTCACAACACAAAACCAAAACAGAAACATCTTCACTATATATGTAGGGTTAATTATCCTTTTGCCCTCAGTGGTGTCCATGTGCTCAGTTTTGCCCTCAGATGCGAATTGTCCTCAGTTTTGCCCCTAGTCCGAGCACAGCAACTACGACGAGGCCAAACGGCCATATTTGAGTCCATTCCGTCCGCCGGCGTTAGTAGTTGTGGGTCCGGAGCTTACACGTGGGACCGCGTGGACGTGGGTCCGGAGCTGACATGTAGGCCCCTGCAACTAAATCCCCAAATCATTCTAGCTCACACCCATCCGCCCGGCCGGCTGTCCTGCGCCGCCGCCGCCGCCACCTGCGCCGCGGCCAGCACCTGCCCCGCCACTAGTTGCACGGCCTACTCCGCCGCTACCTCCCTGCGCCTACGCTCCACGGCTCATTGTGACGCCCACCACCTTCCTGCGACGCCACGGGTGGGGCGCCCGCCACCTGCTTGATTCGCGGCGCGGCCTCCTTCCGTGCGCCCGGCCGGAGCGCTCAAAGGTGGGGGGCTGCTGGAGCTATTTGAACTAGGAGGAAGAACCCTAGGGTGAAATGGTGAGCAGCGGCGACCCCGGAGTATTTGGCGAGGCAGGCATCGGGCCGGAGATCCGCCGCGTCCACGACTGGGTTCCCGAGGGGTAAGTCTCGCCTCTTGTTTAGATTGAGCTTAGTTGTGCATTTGAACACTCGATTCGAGTAGGTTTGCCCAATTAGTGTGCTGATTGCGTCTCTGTTTTTCGCCGGTTAGGATGGAGTTGCGGTTTGCTTTCATGGTGCACATTAGAAGGGACCGGTACATGTTCGATGCAAAGGATAAGAAGAAATACCAAGGAGGTTTTGATTATCGGTTGCCAATGGCTAGTAATTGGAGTTTCAGACAATTTGGGGAGGTAATTTGTAGCCAATATCCTTGGGGTTTGCTTGATGAAGTGGTATACAAATACTATAATGGGGAAAAGAATTGGGTGATAGTTAGTAATGATGAAGAGCTAGCTACCATGTTTGTTAGGCATAAAGAGAAAGATAATTTTCATGTGAGGCTGCAAGTTGATGTGCTTGAGCAGGCATTTGGACCTAGGATGGCGGGTGCAACATCTCGGGGAGAATCAAGTCGTCGTAATGGCATCTCTAGCCAGAACAGTTCAGTTGGTGCACGGCGACGTGGTGGCTCGACAAGTGTGGGCAACAGCAGTAGGGTCCCCCTTGAAGTGGAGCCTGATGGCTACAATTATGGGGTTGATGAAGAGAAGTTATATTCTGATGTTATTCAGAATTTACGACGGGCACCTCGGGCTGAAAACCAAGATGAGGCTCACAATGCAGTCCGTGTGGATGATGACGCGATGGGTGAGGACGAAGACCTTGCAGCTGTTGAATGGGACCCTTTGAACCCTCAAATGGAAGAAGGTACAGTTTTTGCATCCATGAATGAGTGTAGAAATGCACTTGTGACATACTGCATCAAGGTAGAACGTACTTTCAAAGTTGACAAGAGCGATCAAGTACGTTACAGAGTGCACTGTCCGACTGAGGGTTGTCCATGGAGGCTTCTTGCAGCTAAAATGCGGAATATCACTAATGTTCAGGTCAAAGTGAATCCTTTTAAGCACACATGCCAGGAATCAACCCTTAGGAAGGATACAATCAGTAGAGCCAAGTCAAGATGGGTGGCAGAAGAAGTAAAAAAGTGGGTGAAAGAAAACCAGCAAGTGGGTCCAAAGGAATTACAGAAGAACATCAAAGATAAGTTCAAGATAGATTTACCATACATGAGGTTGTTCAATGGTAAACAACATGCTATGGATTCTATTTATGGTAACTGGCAGGAAAGTTTTCAATTGTTGTATTCATTCAAAGGTGAAGTGGAGAGGACAAGCCTAGGTAGTATTGTAGATATTGATCACCACACCGTGGAGTACACATTCAGGGGAGTGACAAAGACCAAGGAATGCTTTAGAAGGGTTTTTGTCTGCTTTGAGGCTTGTCGCCGGGGTTTTTTGGCAGGCTGCAGGCCTTATTTGGCTATTGATGCCACTTTTCTCACAGGAAGGTTTAAAGGACAGTTAGTAGCAGCTTGTGCAGTTGATGCACATAGTTTTGTATTCCAGTTGCCTATGGTGTGCTGGAGACAGAGTCTGAGGAGAGCTGGACTTGGTTTTTGCATAATCTCCGCCGGGCTATTGCACATCCCAATGGGTTGGTCATTCATACAGATGCCTGCAAAGGTTTAGAAGTGGCTGTGGACAATGTGTTCCCTGGAGTAGAGCCTAGGGAATGCATGCGTCACCTTGCTGCAAATTTCATGAAGAAATTCAAAGGAAAGGTGTATACCGACAATTTATGGCCAGCATCATTGACATGCAGTGTGAAGAAGCACAACTACCACTTGAGGCAGTTATACATGAATCCCAAAGTGAAAGAATACTTGGAAACACACCACTCCAAGTTATGGGCCAGAAGCCAATTCAGTGAAGTGAGCAAAGTTGACTATGTGCACAATAATCTAGCAGAGTCTTTCAACTCAACGATCCGGAAACTAAAGGGTCATTATGTGGTGGATTTGCTTGACAGGATAAGGATAAATACATGCAGAAATTTCATTACCGTGCAGGAATAGCCGAGGCAAAATTCATGGGCCACATTATCATCCCTGCCGTGATGAATGAACTGAAGCAGAAGACAATAGGCTTGGAAATGAACATGACGCTTTGCTCGGGTACCACAACAGAGATATCATATTTGGATAAAGAGAAGAGGGAATGGAGATATCCAGTGGATTTAGAAGCTAGAACTTGCAGTTGTAGGCAATGGCAGATAACTGGGTTGCCATGCATTCATGCCTTGTTTTTCATCACTTCTCTCCCAGGTCCAGCAGGGAACATACAGCAGTATGTGCATGATTACACTCTGTTGCAAGGTTCAAAGCCACATATGCTTATGCCTTGCCTGCTATGGAGGGAAAACAACAATGGGACATGGTGGACCCTGGATTCAAGCTTTGCGCTCCAGTTCTGAAGAGAGCAGCAGGTAGACCAAGGAAGAGTCGAATAAGACCTCGCAGCGAAGGAGCTGGACTTGGAGCGAGGAAGCGTAAGTGCACAAGATGTGGTGGGTCTGGTCATTTCGGTAAGTATTGTGATAACACAGTAGATCCAGCGTTCGGAGAGAGTTTCGATGAAGGCTTCGATGAAAATGTTGGTCAGCAGCCGGTTGCCTCAACAGATGATGAAAATGTTGGTCAACAGCCGGTTGCCTCAACAGATGATGAAAATGATGGTCAACAGCCGGTTGCATCAGATGAGGATTTTGACGAGGTTCCAAATGATGATGGTCAACAGCCGCATGATTTTGACGATGATCCAAAATATCCTCCAAATAATGATTCAAGTGAGGCTCCAAATGGTGATCCAAGTGAGGCTCTAAATGGTGATCATGGTGATCCAAGTGAGGCTCCAAATGATGATCTAAGTGAGGCTCCAAATGGTGACCAACCTTCTGTTGTTGTGAGTTCTGCTAGGTATGTAAATCTTGCAAGGGTCAAATACTACTGTACATCTATCACTTGACACGATCTCATTACCGTTTATGTTTGGACCCTTTATGTTTTGCACAGCTCTATGGTAGGTTTGAAGAAGACGCGCAAGGTACCGACAACCAAGAAAAGAAGAGAAGAAACAATGAGCACAAGGTGCACGAGGAGCAAAGTGATGGCAAGAAGCTCAAGGAACAGACAGAAGCCCCAACGCTATCTATGAACAATTATGAAACATTATGAATAAGGAATGATGTTGTATTATGAAATATTTATCACTTGACATGTTGTATTTCTGTTGGATGATGTTGGACCTATGTTAGAAGTATGTTTGACATGATGTTTAAATATCTGTTGGATGATGTTTGAATGAGCACATGGTTTTTCCTTTTTTTGATTTTTTTGAATTTTGTTTTGCTCATTTAAATTCTGGTCAAACCTAACTTTGACCAAGATTTAAGCAAGTCTAAAACATCAAAATGAAAAACTAAGCCTGGATACTTCTTAGTCAATCCAAAATGAAGTTGTGGTGAGGTTTTTGAAATTTTCATGAAAAATGTGCTAAAAAGAGGGGTCCAAAGGTAGGGTAAACGGCCTCATTTCTAAGCAAGGTTTTTTCGACCTTATCTAAATCAGCCAAATAACTTTCCTACACATATATTCTATATGTACAGACTATGTGCGCTGGTTTTTCCATTTTTTGATTTTTTTTAAATTTGTTTTGCTCATTTGAATTCTGGTCAAACTTAACTTTGACCAAGATTTAAACAAGTGTAAAACATCAAAATGAAAAACTAAGCCTGGATCCTTCTTAGTCACTCCAAAATGAAGCTGTGGTGAGTTTTTTGAAACTTTCATGTTCATTTCCCCAAAACACTTCTCTTCACTTCATACAAGAGAGTTTGAGATACTCGAGATATCATACAATACACATGAACTTATCATTTAAATGTATGTAAAGCTTGTTTATCAACTTAAATCGTTAGTATATGACATAAGAAGACTATGTGCGCAGGTTTTTCATTTTTCTGATTTTTATTTAATTTATTATGCTCATTTGAAATCTGGTCAAACATAGCTTTGACTGCTCCAAACCCCTCCCAAACCCCGCTAACCCTAGCGCTGAATAAGGACCGTTCATCTAACCCTAGCGGTGATCAAGGGCCATCGATCTAACCCTTCTAGAAGAAATCTGCGGGGAGGAGGGGGGCGATCCGCGAGATGCAATCTGATTGGCCGGGAGATTGTTTTTTTAACAAATATCGGACGCGCTGGATGGACCATTGGGCCGTCTCGTTGTCTGGGCCTGAGATCGCAGTAAATAGCCCGTCTCAGCCTTTCCAGGCCTTGCATGCATGGAGGCGGCTACGTGGGTTTGCGCATGCGCGGGAG